TCAGCCCTTCAGAGTTTAGTTCTTGCTAGGGCACCAATGCACCTCTGCTTATCATCCTGGGACACTCTTATTTGCAGGTGGAAACATCATTAACATAAGCCAATGCAGCAAATGTCAGACTGTTAGGGCTACAAGAAACCCATCAAATTCAGGACCAAGAATTCATCGTTAGAATTTCCTGTGACTCTTGAGGTCACATGAAGAAAATCATTGTCACCATGAAATGTATTTATAATAGGATAATGAATGATTTGCACTCTTTGAAAGGCCTAAAATATTTATGGAATAAAAGAATTGTAGAGATTGAAGGAATTTTGGGGACTACTGATTTCATTTTTTTCTGTCCAATTTTGAAATTATTATATTCTGTATATTCTTGAAGGTAGTAATGTAATTCCCAGCTAGTAGAACTGATCAACTGAATTAAGATGAGAATGAAAATAGTGGCTGATTAGGATTTGAAGCCTAAATTCCTAGATTTGATGCCAACTAAATCACAGAGCTTACTGCAGATATTAAAAGTAAATATTGCATAATATTTGAGATGATGAAATGTCATCTTCAAAAAAGATATGAATTATCAATAGAGAGAAAACAAATGAAAACAATCTAATTTGAGGAAGCTGATACAAACAAAATCTACAATAAGATAGATTTGCAATATGCCTTTTAGGGGCACTAAAGGCAACTTAAAAAATATATTTTTATTGATTTCAGGGAGGAAGGGAGGGGGAGAGAGAAATAGAAACATCAATGATGAGAGAGGATTACTGGTCGGCTGCCTCTTGCTCACTCCCTACTGGGCATCAAGCCTGCAACCTGGGCATGTTCCCTGACTGAAATTGAACCACTACCTCCTGGTTATAGATCAATGCTCAACCACTGAGCCATGCAGCTGGGCTGCAGGCAACTTTTGTGTGCTATAAAATTTTGCTCCAAATTATAGGGTGCTCCAAAAAATGTATACACACTTTAAATAACTATAAAGACAATATTTATTTAAATACATTTCATTTTCAAAATCGACCTATCAGCTGTTAAAATGTGTATACATTTTTATGGGACACTATTTTTTGGACACTTACTGTTATGCTACTCAATAAGATGAGTGATTTGAATTAAGTCACTTGTTCTTCACAAACAACTCTAATGAGGTTGTTATTAATATTCCTGTTTTAAACACGAGGAATCGAAGGCAAAAGGAAGTGACATCTCTGAGACGGAAACCCTGGCGGTTAGATTCTGGAACCCATGCACTCAGCCATGGTGGGGGGGCGGGGGCTGTCTCCATCGTGGCCACACTGCCTAGGGCAGCCCTGTAACATTGGATAAATATGGAACTCTCTAACTTTGCTTCAGCCAGTCTCTAGTTCTCTCCTTCAGCACTGTCCCATCAAATATGATGTCAATGTTGTCCCTATCTAAAATGTCATTTTTTCATGTTGTCAAGCTGGGTTCAGATTAGGGTAATGATTGAGAAACTCATACAAATTAGAACAGATTTTTAAAAATTTGGGAGAATATAAGATAGTAAAGGGTCTAGAAACCATCTCAACACATGATTACATGAACTTGGGATTATTAGTATACAAGAGGGAAGATAGATAAAGTAAATGGTGGTTATCTTCAAGAATTTGAAAGCCTTTCACAGTAAAAGAAGATTAGAAGTAAGACTGGGGGTTATAATAAGTAAACCTTTTAGCTGAATGTAATAAAGAACTTTGTAATAATCAGACCTTGTTGATAATGGAATGGGTTATCTTGGGACCTAAGGAGGTTCCCTTTCTCTAAGAGACGAGAAGACAAATGATCAGGAACACTGCAATGGTGGGCTGCCTGCCTGGTCCGCAAGGTCCATTTTAATTAAAATATGACTATTGATTCAAATGTATGGTTTCTGAAGTCAGACATTAAAGCTGTTTAATTCTTCATTAAGTTTTCCTGTTAACTATAGTGTTTCATTAGAGTCGTAATGGAAGTCTGGGCTAACGCCCTACAGGTGACATTCTGGTACTCAGGGCCTTTGGAGGCAGAGTGCCAAAGTGATCGGTAATGTTACTTTCTTCTCGTGGTATTTTTTTGGGGTTACTGGGAATTGCTAGGAGAAGAGAGAAAATAATTGTTCCCTTCTGTATTAAACTTTGTAAGAACAAGAATGAAGTCACGTTGACAAGGAGAATTCTTAGAAAATAAAAAAATGGCAACATCACTGGAGATAGTGGCAGTTCCTGCACTCAACTGACAGGTGGCCTGTGACCTTGATCTGCTCCCAGGTCCTTTCAGGACTCCTGGAAGACAATGTGGATGCTCAGAAAAATCTCCCAATCTGTATTTATTTGGGAATAAAGGCTTCCTTTTTCTGAAGGGCCACCTTGCTAAAGTGATATATGCATTCATGCCCTATGTCAGGCTGGTCTATCAGAATAACCCTAGGCCTTGACCTCGGATGAGGGGGGAGGAGACAGAGGAGGTAAGAAGAGCCTGGGGATTGCCTAGGCTCAGCTGCCAAGTCATGCTGTCTTCCTGTCCACCCCCATCTCCCATAATATCACAACACCTCCCCTCCCACCACCCTGATTGTTCTCAAGGATTCATTTTGATAAAGAACCTGCCTCGGTTTAGGTCAACAAACCTACCCACTGATCTACAGTAAACTGAAATATCCTATGAATACACAGAAATTACTGAACCAAGGAACACTGTGTAACTTGTTGGGCAGTGCTTTCAACAGAACCTTTGAAAATGTCATGCTTTAAGTGGAAATGTATTTCTCAATATCCTCCTAGTATACTGTCTTGAGTATCTTTTTCAGTTGATTAAAGCTCCCAAGAGATATAAAAACTTACTGGAGCATAGTAGACATGGGGACAGGAAATGACGCTGACCATGAGCTGCCTTTGGGAAAGCAGTTGCACTAGAGTAGAAAGAGTTCTGGATGTGTAGCAGGAAGACCCGGGCTGGAAGGCATGGCCTTGAAGGACTGCTGAGGGCAGTGCTTGCCAGTATGTCTATGGGGCAAGGCCACTTTTGTTGGTTGGTTGGCTTATTTACATATTTTAATTTTCAATCCATCACAAATAGATGTTTTTGTAAAATATAATAAATATAAAAAGTTAAATTCTTTTTTATTATAAGATTCAACAGAGATAACATTAGCCTATCAAATGGTCATAAACGTGTGTAAAGGCTGCAGATGGGCAACAAGCAGTTTGCGGATCACTCTTTGAGCAGCTGCCCTTGGGGAACTCAGCCTTCCTTAGTTTCTCCACTTAGTCTTGCAAGGTAGTGTGAGGATTCAGATGATAACAAAGGTGTGTAATCAACTAAAAAGTGTCATCCACATGTTAAATTTGCATTGTCCTCATTATAATAACAGTAGTTGAAAATGATGACAAGGAGTCAAATACATTTTTTTTTGTTCTTCTGTGAAGGTAGCTATTAATGTGGCGCAATAAAGTTAGCATACTAGCGGCAGTGACTTCCCTTGAGCCAACAATTTCCCAAATACAGAATGCTTGGCCGAGAGGCAGTTGGGAAACTGCACCAGAAAGCTCCTAAAGCATACTTCTTGTCCCTGGCTCTCTACCTGGTGATCAGCTGGAACCTCACAGTGCCATCTTCTTCCCGTAGGGCCCAGTTAACAGAGGCCACTAACCTAGGACAGGCATTAAGGGTCCCAGCTCAGACATACCCTTCCCACCAGATCGCCACTTCCTTCTTGTCAGGCCAGGGAACTAGGTCAAGCAACACGCCTTGGAATCATAGTGGGAAATTTTAGGCACCTCTGGGCACAAGAAGGGTGGTGTTTGACTACACACACACACACACACACACACACACACACACTCATGTACCGCTCGCGCTCACGTGCACACATACACATGCACACACGTGCACACGCACATCAGAGCCATTCAGAACCAGCAAGAGAGCTCTCCCCAGGTGGTGGGGATCAGGGTCTTTGCTGAAGGCCCGCCCTTGGGTTTCTCTTGGCAGGCCCCCCAGCAATGCCATTGGAAGCAGATTCTAGTGAACGAGGGGCTGCACCAGTTGCTGAACATTAGAGGCTCACATGCATCTAAGCAGACTGCCGTGCTCTGCCTCCTCCACCGGCAAGAACAGGGCACTCTCCACTTTTCCCATCCCTCTGGTTTCCCACCGCCATTCTGCCAGCTCTTGTATTTTCTTATTTTCAAATAGGCATTTTTTTATATCATAAAAGTAATATCTATAAAATAAAAAATTAAGCAGTACAGGAAGATATGAAATAGGAAAACAATTTTCTCCCTTACTCCCTGACCTAGGGGTAAGTACTATTAATGATTATGTGTGTATACTTTCTTTACATTTTTTTAAAAAATTGATTTCAGAGAGGAAGAGAGAGGGAGAGAGAGCCAGAAACATCAATGATGAGAGAAAATCATTGATTGGTTGCCTCCTGCAAGCTCTCTACTGGGGATTGAGCCCACACTCTGGGCATGTGCCCTGACCAGGAATTGAACTGTGACCTCCTGGCTCAGAGGTCAACACTCAACCACTGAGCCACACTGCTTGGGCTATGTGTGTATACCTTCAAGAAATGTTAAGGCCTATCTATAATAAAAGCATAATATGCTAATTAGACCTGACAGCCAAATGACCTTCTGGATGTCCTTCTGGATGACCTTCCGGAAGAAGCCTGGGCTGTGAGGGCCACACCACTTGCACGAATTTCATGCATCGGGCGACTAGTAGAAATATAATATGTGCTAACATATATGTCACTTTTTCTTTTTGATAAATGTGATTGTTACATAGTTTGGCAATTGGCCAACATGATTCTTTTGTGTATTTTTTTCCCCATACTTTCCTTGACATTCAGATTTTGGTCTGATTTTACTTCCAAACTTTTCCCCCAGTAGCCTTCACAACCCTGTATCATGATCAAATACCCAGCCTTTCTTCTCCTTCTTCCCCAGCCAAGTACATCCTCCATCCTCCATCCCCCTGGCCCCTATTACCTTTCCAGCCTCTGCATGGTCATAGCCAGCGTCTTATTCAGCTCGTCTATCATCCTGCAGCTGGAGGGGTGCATGGGGAGGGAGCCGCTGGCGGAGGGGTGGTGCTGGCCAAGGCTGCCATACTGCAGCTGGTGCTGGATCTGGGACGGCAGGACCGTGTGGTGGTGCTGGGCCCCACCCTGCTGGCCGCTCTTCTGGGCTGCGTAGGATGCCAGCGAGAGGTCTGGCCCTCCTACAGGCATACAGATCATGACTTTCTTTGGAGGTAGCGGAGGTGACAGTTTCACTGGCAGACAAGGCAATTTCACAGGGGCTCCAGGATCTGTGGCAGAAGGTGAGAGACAGGTGTGAGTTTGGGGGTAAGAAACCCAGGACATTGCACATGCCGACCTTGGGCTGTGGCTTTCAGGGATAAAATGCACCCACTAAAGACACAGCAGGAGGAGAGCTCTCAGCAAACACCCATCATCTCCTTTCCTGCTTAACGTGTGCTGGCTGCAAGGGCCCTCAGGGACGCAGGCATTAGTGGTGCCTGTCACACAGCTGTCAGGCTGAGGGTCAACAGCCGCTGTGCACCCTCTGCTCAGGGGAACCCATGGACCTTCGAGACCTGCTCTAGCATACCCCATGATACCTACAACTTGGCCATCATGATGTGAACATATCCTTTCAGCTGGTACTTTCTAACAGGCAAGAGACTGGAAGTCAGCCCTAGGTTCAAGTACACTAAGAGAATAGCCCTCCACCGGTGACTTTAACGATGCACCCTCCATCCCCTCACCTGTAACCTGGGGACGATCTCCACACCTGGGAGGATCTGCTGTCACAGAGAGCTCTGGTGCCCTGTATGGGGGTGAGCTGTGAGCACGGGGCTGGCCTGGCCCACCCACTCACATGGCATCCATGGTGGGATGTTCAAAAGGTAGGGAAGCTCCAACAGGCACTCGGGGGCCCAATGGAACTGGCCCCACCCACCCCCCTGGTTCCATGACAGTGGCACTGAAACTTCCCAGAGATGCTCTGAATTGGGGGACACTTAGGGTTAGACCAGCCCTCATAGCATCTCTAGGATGACCTTGCAGTCTTCTGCTGGACCCTACATTCCTGGACATCATCTAGCACGGGGAGGAGGAGAGGGGAGAAGGCATGGCTGAGTTGTTCTCGTCGCAGGCTGCACGGCCAGGAGGTGGGCAAGTACAGTCCACTTCACACCTGGTGCTCATGGTGGGAGCAGTGCCGGGCTCAACTCTTGGTCTTTGAGGCCCTAGGTTTTTCTCCAACTATCTGTGTGCGTTGAGGGTGGCAGTATAACTGCCACAGTCCTGCCAAAATGACATTCCTAGAGCACAAATCTGACCTGACCGTGTCGCTCCTCAGTTTAAAACCTGCCAGTGACCTAGGACTACAGCTCAGCTTTGACAGAGCACTCAAGGCTCCCACCGTCTCCTTGCTGATCAGTTCATCTCCTCATGTTCACGCGTCACCTCCCTGAAGTTCGCTTGGTTCCTCCAGTTGGAAATAGCCTCTCCCATCTTACTTCTGATCAGCCTTTCTTACCACATGTACTGCTTTTCTCCCCTGGATTTCACTTATTTGCTCATCCCCAAATTGAGTCTCCATCCCCAGCTCACTCCTACCAGGTGGCCTTTGTTTCTCACATTCTCACAGGACTGTTGCCATCCTCTCTGGCTCCCCATGCTCAGTGGCCACCTCTTCTATTTCACAGAGAAACCAAGGTGAGCCCCCATTGGCCCTCTTCCCTTTGATCAGGCCTTGTTCTTACCCTGACCTACAGGCATCACCCTCACTCCTGAACCCACAGGCACTGCCCTCACTCCTGAACCCACAGGCAGTGCCCTCACTCCTGAACCCACAGGCAGTGCCCTCACTCCTGAACCTCTGAGCTCCCTAAATCAACTGGCATTTCCATACCCCTGGGCCTTTGTCATTTTCCCTCAAATTGGAACTTTCTCTCTTCTGTCTTCTTGGTCAATTCCTACTCTACCTTCAAGATCCAGCTCAAAAATGTCCTCTCCTGAAAAATTTCCGTGATCGTTACATCACTCCTTTCATCCTGCACCCACGGGACCCACCGTGGGCACGTGGATGTCAGTGCTGATGACATTGTCAGTATCAGAGCCAGCACTTACACCAGGCGTATTATGTGCCTCATGTTGTTCTATGCTTTTCATTTCTAACCAATTTTATCCTCACAACAAGCCTGTGACGTGGACACTGTTATTATCTCACTTTTATAGACAACGTCACTACGCTCTGAAGACTCCGAACTGAGCCTCCTGTTTACATAGCTGGCTCCTCTGGAGAACAAAGACCGTGAACAATTTGTCATTATATCCTTAGCATCTTGAACAGGTGCCCGGCTCACACAGCAAGAGGCTGAAAACATGTTTACAGAATGAGCTGAAACCATGGTTCTCTTGTGAGGGATGAATTCACATCTTAGCAGAATATAGGCTAGGAGGCAGAAATGAACATAAAATGGATCACAGTTCTGGGTTCATGCAGCTGTGGATGCATCGACACTAAACTGCTGATTCTACAGCCGAGACATAGAAAATCCCTATGGTTCCAAGGGGCCTGATGAGATGGCTCCCCTAACACCAAAATGTGAATCAATTATAACCACAAGCTTCCCCAAGCTCTCCCCCGAAGGCTCATCCTGTGACCACCCCCCCATGCACAGGACACAGTGGTGCTAATTCCAAAGTGGCTGAGAGCAGAAACTCATCACCTTTGTCCTGTTCCTGTTAAAGGAAGCATTCCTGGGGCTCTTCGAAGTTTTAGCACAAACCTAGCAAATGCAATGTGTCTGGAAGTGTTAAAGCTCTACGTCAGAGACCCTTAACCCATGATTCCCTCATCTGTGGGTCCAGCTGTCTGTCTATGGTAGGCAGATGCTCAGATGCTTGGGCAGGAGAAAGCAGAGCCAGGAGGCGGCATGGAGCTGTCTGCCCAGGAAGGCACAGTGATGACATTGGGTTCTGTCCATCTTGTGAAGGTCTAACTTCCTGCGCACCCTCCTCCACAGCGTTACTTATCATACGTCCATAGCAAAGCTTACTTGGCTTCATCACTGAGAAACAGCCAAGTGTATGCAGGAATTCTATCAAAACAGGCAAGGAGGAAATGACCAGTGGGACCAAGTTAGTGGAGATGGTTGTTTATTGTCCCAGGAAAGACCAGCTAGGGCTCAGAGGACCCTCTCTTCCTCTCTCCTGCCTACATCTTCCTTTTGGTTGTTTCATTACACATGAGCATACATTTAAGAGGGACAATGAAATTTTGTCTCAAGCAACAAATACTTAATCAGAAGTTTAGCTTTTCCCAACTGTGGATTCATTCAATGCATTGTCCTCCTCCTCCTTGCTGGTTTTGGCATTGCCTAATGTGAAATGTATGCATTTGTTGGACGATAAATAAACATATCCCTATACTCACTTCTGTTCAGCAAGGCACTGACATTCCTGTAGTCAGAACCTCAGAGGGAGATGAATGGACTGGTGCTGTGCTGCATGCCACCACCTTTTCTTTCCAAGATACCAAATTCTTAGCGTAGTTGTGAGGGTGAGACAAGACAATGTGGACATGCTTAGTTAATTACAAAGCACTACAGGCATTCGCAGTGTGACTAGCAAGGTTCTTGCCACACCTGTGAGAGTTCACCTGGCCTCATGCTTCTCAGGCTGGGGTGTGAAGATGGAAGCCAAGGAAGCAACAGAGAGTATAGTGTTTCTGTTATACAGGGAGGGCAAAAGTAGGTGTACACTTGTTCGTATGGAAAATCATACAATCATGAATAAATAATAATTCAAGGAAAAAACTCTGTATTTCATGTACTCACAACCGTAAGCCCACTTTTGCCCACCCCTGAAGGTAAGCAGGGAAAAACCAGGTGAAAGTGAATCCAGCAGCGGAGCAAAGAGGCTTGCCAAGGACCGTCATTGGAGTCTGTCATGTTTGACAGAGAGCTGCAGGAAGGGCAAAAGGCGGGGCCGTGCAGGTCTCAGTGTGTGTCCATGCCCGGCTCTGCATTGGTACCGAGAGCTAATGGCAAAGAATGCAGATCTGGAGGTGAGAAAACCTGGATTCACTAGCTGGGAAAGATGGCTCACCTTTTTTGGGACTTAGGCTTTTTACCTCTAAAAATCCAGGGATAAAAACACCTCCTTTACCTTGATAGCCCCTCACTGAGTTGCGGGGTGACACGGATTGTCTGAGGCCTCACTCTACCTCTTGCATTTACAATGACAACAGTGGCTGGCCCTGCTGGGGGCGCACAGAGCTCCCTGCTTGCCAACTTAGAAATGGACGAGTCCTCTGCAGCCAGACTGATCAAGATGCAGTGTATTCATAAAACTGTCTCTGTTGATGGAGTGGAAGGAGCAAAAACAACCCGTTCCAGAGAACAAGGAAAATAAACCCAAACTGTGAGTGTCAAAGAGCCACAAAACCCAAGGGGGCTGTATTTCCAAACATGACACTGCTCTGGACAAGGAAAAATGAAACCTGCAGATTACTTCTGCCTTCGGTTCTCCGGCCAGAGGACTGTAGAATGAGTCTGGGCTAAGTGATCACACCCCCAGCCTCTCTTCTCACTTATTAACACCTGCTGCAGAAGCCATCTGTAACTGCTGATGTATCACATGTACTTGTTAATGATAGTAGCACTTAGTGTCTTAATGAAAAAAAGATGTAAGAATTTCCCAGTTATTTGCTGATTCCAGCAGGTCAGGACTTCTGGCCTCCTTTCATAGCTACCGACATTCTCCCCAAAGACATAAAGGGCATAAGACGTGTGCTAAGAACTTAAAGAAGAGTCCAGTATCACTCAGACTCCCCTGGCTGCAAGAGAGGCACTCAGTGCCTGGCTGGTATGGCTCAGTGGTTGAGCATCAACCTATGGACCAAGAGGTCATGGTTCCATTCCTAGTCAGGGCACATGCCTGAGTTGCAGGCTCGATCCCCAGTAAGGAACGTGCAGGTGGGAGGCAGCAATCAAGGATTCTGTCTCATCATCGATGTTTCTATTTCTCTCTCCCTCTCTCTTCCTCTCAAAAATCAATAAAAATATATTAAAAAAGAAAAGAAAGACACTCACAGGAACTCCATCAATTTCTCCAGGTCAGCCTAGGGATTCTGTGGCAGTCCTTGGTCAAATGCCTGTGAAGGCAACCTGCATTGACTGACCCTTTGTGGTGAGAGGGATGGTGTGGTGGGAAACAAGAGTAACAAAGAAATTGTGTCCCCGCCAACCTGGCTTGCTCTCCCAAGCCTGGTCAGCACACGGGGACTGCAGCAAGT